TAATCAATATGATAATAAAATAGAGGATTAAGAATTTGGCTTCCAGAACTAAGTTATTAAACATGGCACCATTAAACACATGAGTTTTGTGTACTTTGAAATATGATTAGTATAAGAGGAGCTAATTAATATATTTATTAATTTTTATTTAAAGACTTGATACCTGATTTATTTATTGGAACATTTTTAAGTATGTTTGAAGCAATCAGAACATGAAAATCTATTTTTTTCACTTCAAATTTTAAAACATCTGAATACAAATTATTTTCAGTGAAAGTTTAGTGCTCCACTTCCTGCCCACTGAGCCCCCCACTGGAACACCTCTTGACTGAAGTGTCTCCCACCAGAGTGCCCCCTACCAAAGCATCCTCTGCCCATGGCACCTCTTGCTGGAGGTACCTCACCTGCAGTACACCATGCCAGAGCACCTCCGACCTCTGATGTCCTCACTGCCCCCATGAGAGCATCTATACCTGTGGCCCCTAGTCATCTCCTACAGAGTGCTGTTGACACTGGTCTGGGAGCACCTTGACCCCCTTGACCCCTCCAGCCCAGCCAGAGATTGGCCTCAAGGGACCAGAGGGCAAAACCACTGACCCGATCCCAGTGCCCCTGGATTAGAGCATGCCACCCACAAGTCTGGAGCTGAGTTTTGCCTTTTAAAATCATCTGGAAATGAAGCCATTTACCCAATTTACACCACAGTCAAATCCTCAAGGGCAAAAAAGATCATTAAAAAAAAAGGCCTATCCAAAGTACAGCAACTTCAAAGGATAAAGAAATATCAACCTTCACAGATAAGAAAGAACCAGTGTAAGACCTCTGGCAACTCTAAAGGCCAGAGCATCTTTTTACCTCCAAACAATCACACTAGTTCCCAGCAAAGGATCCTAACAAGAATAAAGCGACTGAAATATCAGACATTCAGAATCAGGATTACAAGGAAGCTAACAGAGAGACAAAAGAAGGAAGAGACAAATGAGGCTTCCCATCTCTGAGCTGCTTTGGTCTATAACTTCCCTGAAATGACTTTCCAGAAAAAGACTCTGATGTCTGCTTTAATTTGGAGATTTTTCTGTTTCACATAAAGGCAGGGTAGCACATATATTACTGTGATCCACAGGAGCAGTGCAATCGAGTGCCTTTTTTAAAAACTATGGTCACAATAAGCCAGATCAGCCTTCTCCCATCAGGGCCCATTCCTGTGTGTTCCTATGGAGTGACATCTTACAGGTTAACAGCCTGCAGAACATGACTCAAAAGCTCACCTGAGGACCACTTTTCTAACCTACACTTCCTTGACAGGGTGTGAAGGACATCCTTCACCATTCCAAAAATTCAACATTTCCAACTACCACCCAACTCACACTGATCCCCTCCAAGGCTGGCTTCCCTTCCAATACCTATCTCTGATATCTATTCGTTATCTCATTTAATAGTTATCACCATCTACCTAGGCACTTCAGCTGGAAAGCATGGGGAAAATGTCTGTCTGTCTCTCTCTCTCAGCCGCATGTGCCATTAACCTCTAGGCCCCAGCATGTCCATCCACCCAATCTTCCTCAAATCTAACTTGCTCCTCTCCATTTCCAATCACTCCCAACATCTCCTAGCTTTATAACAATCTCTCATCTGGTCTCCTTGCTTTCTCTACATCATCTTCATTCTAGCTTCACTTCTGAATCACACATCTGAGCACGCTGTTACAGTTCTTTTTCACGTGCATATTCCCACTAAACCTTAAACAAAGCCGGTTAGAACTAGTTGATGCCTTACACAGGTGCTTCAGCAAACATAGATAAGAAAATTCATATGGGGACTGTTGCTCACAACAAAAATTTAGAAACAACCCAAATTATGTGACAGAATAATAGGCAGCAAGGAAAAACAAACTGTATACTCAGTTTGATATTAATAACATACTACTGAGTGAAATAAACTACCTCCATGTTGCTACATACAGAATAATAAGCTTTTTTTTTTTTTTTTTTGAGACAGTTTGCTCTGTTGCCAGGCTGCTTCTTATTAAGTTCATAAATAACTAAAAGTAAACAGAATATTGTTTCGGTGCTATATTTAGGCTACACATATATACACAAACAACACATATACATACATATATAGACATATAAATATAAGCACACTAATAAAACTATGAAAACTACAAAAAAGGCAATAGAACAATCAGCACAAAGAGGTAAGAGAGACAGGCATACAGACTGTAGAGAAAATGCACAGAGGTAAATATGGACAATGTTGTTCTCTAGTTGGATGATACCATCATAGATGATCATGCTATTGTTTAGCTATTTAATTATTAAAAGAAAGCTATGCTTGAGCTAAGGATTATATGCCCAATTCAGTATAGCTAATGTATAGTGAAAGGAAGGGAGGCAGGAAGACAGTGAGAAAAGAACTGTGTAATGCAGGAAGAAGTTTCCACATTTAAAAGAGGACTTGAAAAGGAAGAAGACACAGAGCAAAACCATGTTAGTGGAAACCAGCTATGTGGGTTGACATGCTTTCGGTAGACTGTAATCTGTGGCCTATCTACAAGGAAGTGATTCTCCACAGGAGCATTCAAGCAGCACAGACCACCCCAGCAGTGCTATCTGCTCCCTCCTCCTGAGCTTGCCAAGATTTGAGGGTTTACTTAGGCTTCCCTATTCCTGCATCCTGAAGCACTCCAAGCAAAGTAATGTTGGTACAGTTCATGCCTACATGCAATGTGCCACATGAAATCTTGAAAGTTGCCCATGTCAGTCTATTTTGTTTTTTTAAAAGGATGATTATAAAATAATGTGAACATCTGGATCTCTGGCCAAGTCAGCCTCAACCTCCCTTATAAACCTCAAGATGCTTATCTTCACTTACTAAGAAGCAATAACTCTCTCCAAATTCTTAAGCAAACAATACAATATTAATTGCAGTAGAGATCTCCCAACATGTCTTGCTTTGATCAGCTGTCAAGAACATTAAGGAAATGCTCAAGACTCCTCAAGTCGGGGACGTGTGTGTACGGGGAGAGATTCGTGACCAATTAAAACGCAGAAAAAGTTAAATAATATTTCCAACTTCCTTGTTTGAGGCTCAAACACATTTGGTGTGGAAAGAAAAGGATTAGGAAGGAGCAAAGCTATAATTTACAGCTTCAGTATGGTCATGGGATGGAAGGTAATGTGTGGCACTTACAAATTCCACTTCCAGGCCAGAAAAAGCAAAATGGAAACAAAGATCAAGAGAGTGGTAGGTAACCTAGAAAGACTGAGGACTAAGTAAGTCCCTACTGTTGACCAAGTTCATACCAAGCAAAACCAGCAAGTGACAAGCAGTTGTTGACAGCTTTGGTTTCCTGCCTACCCTGTGATACTCTTTCCAATCATTCAAATCTAAATTGTTCCTAGCAGCATGGGAATTAAAAAAGAAAAGAAAATCCCACTTCTGTGAAAGAGTGGCTTACATACAGGTGCCCATTTGGATGGCACGCCTTAGCATTACATCAGAAAGGTCACAAATCCATCCTCTGTAAATCAGGACGGAACCCTGCCCTCTACTTGTTTCCTGCCCAAGATTCATCCTTGACTTCTGAGGTTAATCTTAATGGTTCAAGCCCTTCCTCTCTGTTTCCAAGAGTTTTGTTTAACTTTCTTTTATCCCCGATTCACACCCTGACAGATTATGGTATAAAATAATGAAGTTAATAGACTCTGAAATCAGATAGGCCTGGGTTTAAATCAGATAGACCTGATGCTTCAACTCTGAATCTTAGCTGTAACGTTCTGCAAAATGGACTAGTTAATAACTACTCCTGAAGTTCTTCTGCTTGTTAAATGAGACAATGTATGGAAACATATCTAGTCTGTTGCAGTAGGTATGCTATAGTGCCACAGCACACCTGCGTGAGGAAAAACCCTTCATGCCTAGAATAGTATCTGGAACAGTTAGCTGCTCAACTGTAATCATCTTTTCAACACATTTACCAAAATATAGAAATGTACTATGCATCAGTTACTTCTGAAAATTCTCTCTCCAGACCTGACCTCTCTCCCTTGAATTAGAGACCTGGATTTGCAGCTGCTTACTCAGTATCACTATCTACTAGAGACTTTAGAATCCGCTAGAACTCATTTTATGCCACTCCTATTAGAAATAGGAAAGCAGACCCCAACACATGAATTCATTTGGCCTCTGTTATATACACATAGACACGATAGGAAGTAGGACTTAAGTCACCCACCTCTCTATTTCCTGTATTTTCCTAAATGCTTCTTAATGTCTGTCAGCTGAACCATATAGAAAAGCAAACTTATCACCACACTTTGTCCAAAACTAGCTCCCCCTCTGGACTTAACTGTTAACTGAACCTTAATTTTCCTGGTCTGATTCAAGACTTGCAATGTCCTTGGCAAGATTTTCTGCGTTCTTCTACACCCATCTACCAGCCCCTGCATCCATTTGGAACCAAACTACCATAATTTTGTCTTTTACAAAGTCTCCTGTCTAACCTTTCCTTTCAGTTTCACCTTGACAGCACATTCTAGAACCTCATTACCTCACACCAGCACAAAGCGCTCCTACCTAGACACCCTTCCACCTGCCCATCTAATCCCAAACACTCTACGCACACTGCCACTTTCACCATCCCATATCCATGCTTCACAGAGACACCTGCAAAACACTTCTAATGCAAGACTCAGCCATAACTGAGCCTCTGAGTGTGACATATAGAGGACACATTGACAAAAAAACACAGGAGGAATCAAAGAGGTGGGTAAAGAACCAAAAGAGGAGATTCCAGAGGAAGGTCAAGACATGGGGGCAGACACCGAAAAATAGATGACAATGGCAAACTTTGCTCCTTTGCAGCCTAAAGTTCTCCAAGTAAATGTCAGAAGTCAGTAAATGCCTTGGGGAGCTGACAGGGAGCCCTGAACCATCTCTGGAGGAGCAGGAAAAGAGATTAATCAGAAATCTGTGTCAAAGAGAACAAAAGGCCAGAAGACTGATCTACCCAAGGGAAGCCACGGTGATACTGGGGGACTCACTCACAGGTGCTGAAGACTCAGCAGGGTCTGCACAGCGTCTACGGAACCCAGCACTGAAACGCCATTCTGCGTGGCTCAAGCACTCCGTGGACATGCACTTGGCTCTCACATCCTGATGTTCTTTATCCTGGGAAGTTATCAGAAGAGAAATTTCAAAAAGAGTAAGTCAGTTTTCAGTAAATGTCTTCAATTAAACTCCCACTTTAAGGCAACTGCTGAACTTTCCCCAGTGCTGGAGGGTACATATGACGACAGGAAACGTCCTATTTTTCAATTTTCATCTACCAAGTCGTTCATGTGCGGTTTAGCACCGTTAACATAAGTTTACTCCTCAAAGTAATAGGTTCTATATTAAATTATGGCCAAAGAGTCTTCATCCTAAATTTCTGATTCAAAAATGGGAAAAACTCCAAGATATAAAAGATAAAGCTATTTACCAGTATTCCAGTTAAATGTACAACATAAATAAAAAAATATGAGTAACCATTAAGTCACCTTTTCCAGTCTCAGAGACCTTCTCTGACTAGAATGCCGTGGAAAATCATCTTGATTCCAGAAAGTGGGGGCTGAGGGGACACACTGTTGAGGGCGAGTCACGGAAAACCACTGTGGTAGCCGGCCCCGCCTCAGTTCCCCTCAGGAGAGCGCACTCACCTGTGTGGAACGCGAAGGGGCCTCCGGGACTAGGGCGGGTGGTCCCTGCGACACCAGCGTCCGCCCAGCGCGCCCTCCCGCGCCGGCCTGATTCCAGCCCGGCCCAGATTCCCTGTCCCCAGTCGCGGGCGTCGTGAGGCTCGCATGTACCCCAAACGCCCGCGCCTCGTCAGGGCCGCCCAGTCCCTCCAGGAGGCTCCAGGCGGCTCGAGGGCGGGATCCTCACGGCGCAGGCGCGCGCCTCTGCCGCGCCAGGGGAGCAGCGCAGCCGCAGTGGCGACTGGTAACCGTTAGCGGAAGAGCCCCGCCCCACGCCCGCCAGGCCTCTCCTCCCACTCAGCCTCTAAGCCCGAGGCAGAGAGCTTTGAGCGCCGCCTTCCGAGCCTGAGGCTGAGTCCCAGAGCCTGGCAAGTCCCGTTCCCAGAAGACTAGATCCTCAGCCCGTCGGGCCTGTGGCCCAGGTGGGATTTCCAGGACAGGCCAGTCACCAAGAAGCCAGACGACCAACCGCCCTTCTCTTCGTGCTAAGGTAGACACGATTGCTTCACTTTTATTTTTAGTGACATTAAACATGCTCCGGGAAATGACGTCCTGTTTCTGAGTTAGCAGTCCCGCCTTTTCCTCCCGCCTTTTCCTAGTCCAAAGAGAGCATCTGAATTCCCTAGAGTGCTATAAACATTAGGCTGAAATAAGATTATAGGACTTCACATCACACTTTTGAATCTTTTGGAAATTTTAGTGAGAGTTTGCGGCTTGATGGCCAGAATTCCTGGCTCATTCAAAGAAAGCTTTACAAAGGAGAATTGCCTGGAGGAGGATTAAGCACTGTCACGCATCAGGTGACAAATGCGAGGGGGCCGTTTGATGCTGTAAAGGTGACACACCGTGAGCTGTATTGGCCACTCCAGGAAATAAAAACACATGTGGTTTCTGAATTCTCCTTATATTTTTGACCATCCTGGCTTGCAACATTTTATATAATATCTGGAAATGGAGTGAGCTGGCTATAGCAGTATGTGCATTAAAATGAATCTAATGCATGCTAATAATTACTGTATTTTTATGAAAACTCTAGAGACAATAGTAGGAAACTTATGATGTAAACCCGTGAAACATTCCATCATAAACTGATTAAGCTGAAAAAAGGAAGTAGTATAAAAATGAGATAGAATAAAAAGTGCCAAAATACACTCCGATGCACTTGTCCCATTTATTTTTCAAGTCGGTTAATTTCTCCTCTGCCTTTCCTTAATTTTCCTGAGTTGTTCTTCCCTTTCTGCCCCTTTCCTTCTTCCACTTTTCCCCTATGTCACTGAATCAACTGTGTGACCCCAGCTCTCACACCTGCTGCTGGGAGGGTGTGGGTAAGTCAGAGCTCCCAGCTCATGTTCTCACCTGTGCAGCTGGATTCACCACACCATCCTCCCTGGTCATTGTAGGGCAGAACAAGTCACCGATCTGGGAGGTGGGTATTTATTTATTTATTTGAAACGGAGTTTTGCTGTTGTTGCCCAGGCTGGAGTGCAATAGCACAATCTCAGCTCATTGCAACCTTGGCCTCCTGGGTTCAAATGATTCTCCTGCCTCAGCCCCCTGAGTAGCTGGGATTACAGACACCCGCCACCATGCCCAGCTATTTTTTATACTTTTAATAGAGACGGGGTTTTGCCATGTAGGCCAGGTGCTCCTTTACTCTTATAATAAAATGGGAAACCCCCACTATGGGCTGGGCACTGGTATGATCCAGGAGCACTGTTCCTGTGCTCAGGGATCACATAACCTTATGGAAACAGCAACCAGAGAAGAATTTCATGAGGATGAGCTCCACGCATTATCCTCACTCCAGGCCTCTTCCTTTTCCTTCTCTTGCTTTGCATGTGAATGCTCAAGGCCAATGCCAGATAAAAGGTGAAGTAAGCAAAGGGTGTCTAGAGCATCTCAAACTTCTTTATCTCAACTTTACCTCCCTCTCCTGAGGGGCTCCGCTGTTTTCTCCATCCCATCCCCAGTTCTGTGGAGTTCAGCAAATGTTAACTGCACAGTCCCTGTGCAGGCACTCTACCAGGTGCTGAGAAATCATATAATATCCATGCCATGACCAAAGCCACCCAAACTGCAAACTAGGAAATCCACTGGACTGCCACCTGCCACGGTCATCCTCATTCTAACTTTGAAAGATGCTTTGAGCCCAACATCTAGAGATCTTGATGGGCTTTCCAGGGTTTAAATACTACTACACCAATTATTCATTCTCACTCTCTTTCTCTCTCCCTCTCTCTCTCTCTCTCTCTCTCATTTTTTTTAGAGACAGTGTCTTACTCTATGACCCAGGATGGAGTGCAGTGCCACAATCATAGCTCAATCTAACCTTGAAATGCTAGCCTCAAGTGATCCTCCCTCATTAGCCTCCCAAAGTACTGAGATTACACAGGCAAGCCACCATACTTGGCCTGTTTATATTTTATAAAATGTATGATTTTGTGAACCATCTAACAAATATGCTGTACTGCCAAGTCTCAACAGATGGCTCAGTTGGTCCTTAACGAACGAAAGGCAACCAAATGAGAAACGGTCTTATATTGTTTAGAGGAGAGACAGATGTCTGTAACTTTCTCTTTAACCAAACTTTAGACAGTGTCTCTGTGCTCTCTTTTTGACGAGGCCTTGTCCTTGGGCCCTGTCTTTGACCTGCCTGGTACAATTGAAGCATGCATCCTTCTAAGTCAGTTTAATGAGAATCCCAGAGCTCTTGGTATCCAGTCGCCCTCCATAGTTAATCAGGTTCCTCATCCCCTCATTCATGCCTGATCATCCTGCCAAGTTACCTTAGCGAGAGTCCCGCTGCCGTTAATGTCCCCCCTTAGTCATTTTCCATCCACTGAACCCCTCTCTCTGCTTCTTGGCTATAAATCCCGAGCATACTTTGTGGTGTTTGTGTTGAGCCCATCCTCTCTCTGTCATTTCAATAGTCCTGACATGTATCAAAATAGTCCTGAATAAACCTTACCATTTTAACAACTATCGGAATATTTTTTCTTTCATAAACCCTGTTATTAGAGCAAGTCCTGTGCCCTCAGTTTTCTCATTCTTCAAATGAAACCCACTTAGAAATATCTAAGAGAGGATGTCTTAGAAATCTAAGATCTAAGAGATCCTCTCTTAGATATTTCCACCAGCCTGAGTCAACCCAATCTTTGCAAGATTTCCCTGGAATGAGAATTAAACTGGTATAACATGGAAGATTAAACTTTGAGGTTTCATATCAAAGAAATAGAATTATTTTGAGGCCTCATATCTCAGTTTAATTTTCTAAAAGCCTAATGTTATTATAGACTCCTATCTCTTGTTGAAGCCTAGATAGAGCTAGGGATAGTTAAAGACATTTTATTAACTACTGTAAAAAAGCTGTAAGTGCAACCAAGTGATAACAAAAATATAGCTCTAACTTTTCTAGTGATTTTTATGAATTAGAAAAACTTCTAAATTCTCATTTAATCTTCCCAAAGAGTATATGATACTAAAACTGTTATTATTCTCAAGTTACTTATGGATGGAAATGTATGTAGAGTGACAACATAAAATTTCTGAAAATATAATTTTGAAAAATAGGACATCTTAGGTAAAAGAGAAACAAAAACAGGAGAGAATAGCATATAAGTGAGAAAAAAATAGAAATCAGTGTTGTCATTGTTAGGCAGGAAAACACGTTCAAGAAGTTATAATATTAAGTTAAATCAATGTTACAATATTGTCAAATAAGAAGGTATATATGTCAGTGGGAATCAATGTTCTTGTTTACCTGACTTTTAAACTCATCTTTCTGACCTCTAGTCAGACATGGTTGCCTGGTTGTGCCATTTATTTTCAGTTTATCCAGAAAGATTTATTTTTGTCAAGATCTTATACATTGTGAAATATACATTGTCTCACCAAGGAAACTTACATAAATAATTTGAATTTGTGCGGAAAGGACTAGAAAGCCCATTTAGTCTGTATACGAAGCCATTGTCCCTGGGCAATAAACTGAATATTCATCCCACCTCAACACATTTGTATGTTTAAACCCTAACCCCAATGGATGGTATATGGAGTTGGAGGTCTTTGAGAGGTAATTAGAATATGAAGGTGGAACCCTCGTCAGTTGGATTTGTGCTCTTATAATGAAGCCAGATAGCTAGTTAGCCCTCTTCCTGCCATGTGAAAATCCAATAAGATGTAGGTAGTTTGCAGTCCAGAAAAGGGTCCTCACCAGTATTTAGCCATGCCAGCACATTGATCTCATCCTTCTAGTCTTTAGAACTATGAGCAATAAATTCTTTTGATTTATTTCACTTAAGTTCAGAGGTACATGTGTAGGATATGCGGTTTGTTACATAGATAAACATGCATCATGGGGGGTTGAAGCAGGGGCAGCAAGAAGCAAACCTCTCAAACACAGAACTGAGAAAGGAAGTGTCTTTTTATTCGGCCAGTAGCTGCAGGGGGCTACAGCCTCATTCACAGAGCTCCCTGAAAAGTAGCTACTCGGTGTTGCTCATAGTAGTATGCTCTTACCAAAAGTAGGATGTCATGACACCTAGGGAAATTACGTAGCTTTTTGACAGCTGTTCAGGATGAAGTGATATTAAGCTTGATGAGGTGCAAATATAATGTAAGAACAAAACCTGTAAAATATTTAAATGAGTAAGTAATTCAAAAGTTGTTGAGATATCTAGATGATGGCTAGATAGCTTTTAGGAATACACACCAATTGAGCATGGACTTCAGTGTTTAGTGGTTTCTTCGCTACATGTTGGTGTTTGCCTGGGAGAAATTAAGAACCCACAGTTTCCTTTTCACTCATTAGTAACATCATTGACCTTGTATATGACCAGTGATGGTAGAGACACCTTGGCATCTATGTGATTTAATAAGCCTGGCATTGGCAGTAACAGTTAAGCAATTCAAGACAAACATGAGTATAATCAGTAACATTCTTTTCCAATCAAGTAGTGACATGTAGTGTTACCAGGCACCTCAGTCTACTGTGTTAACTGCTAAAATCAGGATATTCTCATTCAAACATTATGAAGTAGTATATAAAAATCTGGATCAAAAAATCAACTTATAGGCATTATATATTGAAATCTTTTCTATCACTTGAAATATACAAGTACTTTTAATTATAATCAGTATCAAATAAGAAAATAATTTTAGCATTTTTTATACACCTGTTGGCATTTGTATGTCTTCTTTTGAGAAATGTCAATTCAGGTCCTTTACTCATTTTTTATATTTTTTGCTTTTTTGCTGTTGAGCTATTTGAGTTTCTTATATGCCGAGTCTCTCCTGCAGACTCTGGCCAAGCAACGGATGAAAGAAGTATGCAGACGCGAGTATTTTGCCTGAGAGCACAGCTAGGGGACTGCATGGGTTAGCATCACTGATGAGAGTGAAGCCCCGATAAGCTGAAGACACTTTGTACAGTATTTATTTTAGTACAGATTTAATGATAGAGGCCTGGAGCAAACACAATTTGTGGGTAATTAACATTGTTGACCCTCCCGAGTAGGGGGACGTCCTGCCTGTGGATG